GGGAAGGAGTTTGGAGGGTGGCGGTTAATGATGACTCCCCCAAAAATTACAGGAAGTAAGCGAAATGCTAGGAGGCCGCATCTCCAACCAGGACGAAGACGAAGTCGAAGAAGAGCTGGCCGCGTTGGAGGCCGAGGTGGCTGCTAAGAACCGTCCGGTGTCGGTACAACCAGTACCACAGGTGCCGCTACCGAATGTTCCCGATACCGAGTTACCGTCGACACCGTCAAGAGTTGAAGAAGAGGGACAGCAGCAGCAACAGCAACGACAGAAGGAAGAGGGGAGAACGGCCATGCTGGCTTGATTTTGATGGGCTGATGAAGGATTATGATTGTTTTACATGTACACAAAGTGGAGAGGTGTTTTGGAGTTTCTGTGCAATGGGGATTCTGGGTTTACTTGATACGTTTGTTAGGGGCATTCAGGAAGTCAGTTTGGAGATTACTGTGAATACCCAGCTACTCGATTTCAAATTTTGGGTTATGAATCAGACAGAGTTGGTCAGCATTGTCTGATTAGACATTCCATAGATCTTACGTTTGCATTCCACTGTTACTCGCCTTTCCATGTTAGTATGTCGACTAGTAAATTCAGGGTGCGGGCTTCATGCTGCAGGACTCGAGTTTGCTTTTTCCTTGTACATTATATCAGTTTTCGCCAATGCCGCTACTATGGATGAGCATGTTCGCACGCCTGACAATCCCTCCTCATTTATATGACTCCTGAAAGCAAAGAGAAATACAACATCCTACACCATGCACCATGGACTTACTCAGTCTAATGCTGAACACATTGCTATGCAGTACGCCCTGATTCCGTATCATTTCCCGCCATTCCAGTACAAATACGCTCCCTATGCTCCTCTCCTTTAGCAAGAAATACAAAACCTCCGCCCGATACTTGAATGACCCATGCTCTTGAGCTTGTTTTTAGACACCAGAAAATGCAAGTTTCCATCTATATACAGTAACCATAACGCCCTGGTCATGCATCCTTTAACAACATGCCTCCGGTCCGGTCCTCCGATATCTACAGAGTGCCTGAACGGTATGTATGAGAAGGTTTGCCACCCAGCTGTGGCTTCAAACGATGAGAAAGGGCTTGCTAACAGATTCGCACGCAGGGTCCGCTTCTAGGAAGATCAACTATAGGGCTGGTTGGCCCAACATGAGATCCCTTCGTAGGTCATAATGTTGCCATATTGTACGACACCGCGACCGCTTCTTCTAGTGATGCGGCGGGTACGTAGAAACTGGCGCGTATATGGGTGTCCGCAGTGGCGCATGCGTAGCTTGAGGTTGTCCGTGGTACCGATAGTCGTGATCCAAAGGAATGTACGTAGCAACAGGTTGAAAATGTCCGTCAGTTCTGCGAAGCCCTCGATTAGTACATGTCGAAAACAGAAGCGTGTTACGAAGGGAAACATACTCAATACCAAGGACTCTCTCCTGTCGCTTCACGCTACCACTTGGATATCCATCGGCATGGCGTTTGATGCCTGATACAACCTCTTCAGAGCGATGGTCAACGGATTGCTGATATCTTCCGACCACGCGCTCGGTTCGCGGGTAAGTCGTGTGACCTGACTGGGAGTCGTAGATCCGCTCGCCCTCACGATAGACATATCCATAGTCTTGGGGGCGTGAAGGGGTCGACGGAGAGTCGTACAACTCCGCATCTACCGGGACTGGCTGGGAGCCGTGACGTTTTGGAAACTTGTTGGACACCCTTACGATCTCCGCAAAGTCTCCCAGTTGATCCTCAACATACTGGCCGTTTCTAGAGTCAGAACGCCACCTGTCACGGTCCCCAACATAGATAGCGCCCGATTGGTTGACGTCTTCGTGTTCTCTTCTAGGCGGTGGTGGAGGGCGTGCATCTTGAGGGTAGCGCGCCGGTACTACGCTCTCATGCCTCACTGGTCCGGGAGAATCATGGATCACAATCGGACGAGCCTCCGATCTAGGATAAGCGTTGTCCTCTCTGATCCATGACTGGGTATCCGCTCTGGCCGGTTGTCCGTAATCAAGGCGACGGGCATCGTCACGGTATGAGGGCATGTCATGGGGGTTACCAGTGCCCGCAACTGGAGCATAGGCCCGAGCCATACCACGCGGTTGCGAGCTAACCACGATATAAGACTCGGGGCGTGCAGCGGGCGCCGTGGCGGTTCGGATGCCTTCACTTCGTGGCGGAAGCGTGATGAACTCTTCCCGAGTATTCAGTGTGTAATGCACCTGCCTACTGGGCATATCGTTATGAGCCTCCCGTGGCGACCTGTAATCCTGGCTAGGAAACTCGGACGGGAACTTTGCAACATCAGGGGATCTTTCTTCAACAGACGGCACGAGATAGTCCCTGAGGTCTTCGCCGTGATGTCTTACCCGTTCGACAACAGCGCCCGCATGAGAAGCAGCTTGAGGCCCAACTATAGGTCTGGAGCTGTTTCTAAGTGGCAGGCGTTGAACAGGCCAATCCTGTCCACGGTAAAGATTGGGGTCACCCACTCGTGGTGCTGATTCATCAAAAGTAGGCCGCTGCACACTGCTGTAAGGCGGCCCTGATTGTTGAGAAACATTTTCGTAAACATATCGCGCCGGTTGTAATGGTTCCCTGGTGTAGTATATACCTTGATCTGTGGGGCGGATATTCTCATGGCCAGAAGGCTGCCAAGGTTGAGGTACCCGATCAACTGACCTGTCGATGCCATCTGTGGCGGTAGGACTGGGCACATGCTCAACATTTCCAAGTCGCTGACGCTCGATTGCCTGGCTCCAGGCCTGGTCAACGGCTCGGTACCTGTTGAAGCCACGTTCGGCTCTCTTTGCAGCCAGTCTCTCCTTGCGGGCTTCCTTCTTGGCCTTCTTCCTCTTGGTTGCCCTTCGCGAAATTGCTGGGCCTGATTGAACATGACTGGGCTGGGTGAGATCGACAGCTGGGGGAGATGGTTTCGGGGCTGAGGTAGGCAGCGTGGATCGGACCGGCGCAGTCTGCTTATCTGGCGAAACCTCTTCCACTGAAGAGGCGTCAGAAGATTGATCTTCGTCATCATCGTCATCGTCGTCCTCGTCTTCATCTTCGCTTTCCGAGTCCGAAATGACGACAACTTCGGCCAGGATTTCGTCAAGCTGGTCACGACCCGTCTCCTCATCCCCTCGCCACTTGACCAGATAGTCGAGACAGAGACCCTCAACCGCTTTCCTAGCATTGACATAGCTTGTTTCTCTGAGCAGCTTGTCATATCTCGTGTGGTTGTGTCTGATGTGAGCAAGAACAGCAAGCTGAACACGACGTGAAAGCGTAACATGAGCAGCAAGACCGACCGGCGGATCCTTTTTATCTTTTAGTCGTGTCTAGAGCAGAAAAGGTTAGAATGTGAATCCACTCAAAGAATTGTGGCGACGGTTTATCAACATGGATGGTGCGCCTACCTTGTTGAACGAGTGTTCAAGTATCATTTGACGGTCAGTGTTTGGTATACGCGGAAACAGATCCCTTATAGCGGCGTCAGCTTGCTTGTTGATGTCTTCTTGTTTTTCTGGGATAGGCTCCGGTTGACCAGCGCCTGTGTCAGGTGTAGGCAGTTCTGAGTCTTGTCCCAGCTGTTGGCGTGCTTGGTCGACAATGGATTCTCGAACATGAATACCAACACGGTTCAAATGGCGACTAAGCTCCTTCGAAAACTGGCCGTTAGAAGACTGTAAAGGGTAGTGTCAGATTCCGGTCAGGTTAGAGGTCGGATGGCTGAGCTTGTGACAAACCGTAACGATAAAGATCATAGCCCCATGCTCTCGGGAAAGCTCTTTACAGGCAGAAGTCAAGGTGGGATTGCCAATGGGCACAAACTCGAAGCCCGGCGGAGGCTCCCGACTCTCGGTGAACTGTTGCTTGTTAGCCAACGCATTACTCTCACAAACGCACATATGCCAGCGCCTATTTAGCGTATAGATGTCTAATTCCGGTCAGTCATTACCTCGATCTCCAACTTCTTCTTCTTGTCCTTGTTCTCAATGAACTCGAACCAGGACTTGTGTTTGGAGGAACACTGTGGTCGGTCAGGCTTGGCTTTCAGGCCAGCGGGGAGCGGCGCAGTCCAATCCATGATATTGCCCTTGCGATCCCTCTGATGCCGTGCTTTGGCATGATCTCCCCTCGCCGCAAGATGGCCAGTGGTTCTCTTCTCTCTACCCATATTGGTCGATAATAGCCTACAACCTCAGCATGGAGAGCGCAACAGTCAGTAGCCTTTTTGGTTCACGCCACGCTTATACCTTTGGTGCGGGGCAATCAAGACAAGCAGCGCGGGGTTATCCTTCAAAGGGTCCTCGTGATAAGCTTGAGGCAAAGAAAGCAGACGAAGACTGAATCCGAGGCCGGGCGGGCTGTCGCGATAGCTTTCGCTCTGCTCAGTTGTGGACGGTGTCGCCTTCGAACAAGCGAAGCAAGATCAATACTTGCGCAGATGATGAGAAGAAAAACTGAAACGAAAACAGGCGCGGGAACTAGGAGGAGAAAAGAACGTCGACTCCTTCTTCAGCTAGATGAAGAGAGGCAAGCCGCGACAGATGATCGGCGCGGTACAAGAATTGCGAGGATATGCGATGCCACGGGATGCGAAAGCAATGAGATCTCTCGTCAGTTTCTGATACCACCCGGTCTTAGTTTTGTCCTTTTGCGCTTCGCAGAAAGCTGAGAATCTCAAGAACTGTTCAAGTCCAGAGCGGTGGAGGAGGAGCAGAAGGGGCTACAGCGGCAACTGAATGAACGAACAGGCACAAGTCGAAACGTGCGCAAGTGTTCAAGAGGTTGGATCTGAAGTTGTCGTGCAGAAAGGCCGCTGTTAAGTCAGATGAAGGCAGTTGTCAAGTTCGGCTGCTTTTCCAACTGATGTGGGTGTTTGAGGACGACGGATGAGTGATGGAATGGAAAGCGAAGCAGGAACAAGAATTAAGACAACCTGCACAGAAAACAGAGCTCAGTTCGGGCTGGCGGCCCACATGACTGCGATGACGGGAGGCGGAATGAGTGGAGCCTGACACTGCCCGTCCAGCCCAATGTTGCACCTTTGCTCGCTTGACTGAACTGAGAATGCCGGTTTCACGTGCGCCACAATGTCCTCTGGCGCCACACATTGTAGTGTACGACGTGACCTTATCGCAACTTCCATCATTCTACTTGCAACCATCACGGCAACTGGACTGTGACTGCAGTGCTGCCTGGACGCGGGGGAGCGACTCACAAAGGTTGTACCTTCCCATTTGAGCAACACTAAAGCAGCCAAGTATTTTGGATGACTCCCACAACAGTGACTCGGACACATCTCAGCTCACTCTTCGGCAAGAACGATAGACTGAAGTTGAAGACGGGAATTGGACGACGTTAACACTTGTCGGGTGTCGTGATAAAACACTATAACTATCGCCGCCTCGCACTGTTGTAGTTTTACTTCGGCCAAAGCGAGTATCGTGCACAAGTCGCCATCTCCTGGTCCTTGCTAGTATCGTTGTTCTGAACACTTTTCACACCATCACTGAATCTTTGAGCTTTCCTCAAAATGCCAGCCGATCTTGGACTTGACGCGGGATTCATTCCTGCCTTGCACAAGCCATCTGCGCTTTTGCCCATCGCCAAACATCGTGAGGCTCTGCTGTACACGGTCGAAACCCATCCTGTCACCATCGTTGTTGGTCAGACCGGTTCTGGAAAAAGTACGCAAATCCCCCAGTTCCTTGAGAAAGCAGGATGGTGTGCTGATGGGAAGGTCATTGCAATCACTCAGGTACGTAGAAACCATGCTCTCGATACATCCAAAAAAATACAAGCAAGGCATGGTTAAGCTAACGTTTCTACAGCCTCGCCGTGTCGCTGCAACCACGGTTGCCATTAGAGTCGCCGAAGAATATGGCTGTGAACTTGGAAAGGAAGTCGGCTTCTCCATCCGCTTCGAGGATGTCACATCTGAAGCAACCCGCATCAAGTTCCTCACTGACGGTCTTCTGATTAGAGAGGCGCTCGTTGACCCCTTGCTTTCTCGCTACTCCGTCATCATGATCGATGAAGCCCATGAACGATCCATCAGCTCCGACATCTTGCTTGGCTTGCTCAAGAAGATTCGCAAGAAGCGCCCCGAACTGAGGATCATTATCAGCAGTGCAACTCTGCAAGCCGAGGAATTTCTCAGGTTCTTCTCTGATAGCACTGACGAGGCCAAGTCCGCTGACAATGTCAAGTCTGACGAGAAGCAGGATGCCCCAGTCGGCGCCATCATTAGCCTGGAAGGTCGAACATACCCCATTGATATCCTCTACACCGAGAAGCCCGTCGAGGACTATCTTGAGAAGGCCATCTCGACTGTCTTCGACATCCACGCCAACGAACCCAAGGGCGACATTCTCGTTTTCTTGACCGGCAGGGACGAGATCGAAAAGGCCGTCGAAGCTGTCTCCGAGCGCTCGGCCCAGTTGCCCGCAGGATCCGAAGCCATCTTGCCTTTGCCACTTTATGCTGGCCTCCCGACTGAGAAGCAGATGTACGTGTTTGACCAAACTCCCGACAATTTCAGAAAGGTCATATTTTCGACCAACATCGCCGAAGCCTCCGTGACCATTGATGGCATCGTCTATGTCATCGATTCCGGCTTTGTCAAACTGCGGGCATACAACCCCCAGACCGGCATAGAAACACTGACTGCAACACCCGTTTCCAAAGCCTCTGCCGCACAGCGCGCTGGGCGAGCGGGCAGAACGAAAGCTGGAAAATGTTTCCGTCTCTATACTGAGGAAGCGTACCAGGCCCTCCCTGATGCCAACCCTCCCGAGATCCAACGCTCAAATTTGGCGCCTTTCGTTCTTCAGCTCAAGGCACTCGGCATTGACAATGTCTTGCGCTTTGATTTCCTCACTCCACCCCCTGCTGAGCTCATGACGCGTGCTTTGGAGCTGCTGTACTCTCTGGGTGCTTTGGATGATTACGCCAAACTCACCAAGCCGCTGGGTCTGAGGATGGCTGAGCTGGCCGTTGAACCAATGATGGCCAAGACCCTCCTTTCCGCCCCTTCTTTCGGTTGCCTTGGCGAGATGTTGACAATTGCAGCCATGACCAGCCTGGGCGGTTCCATCTGGGTCCAGCCCGACGGCGGAAAGGAAGAAGCAGAGAGTGCCAGGCGCAAGTTTGCTGCTGATGAAGGTGACCACCTCACGCATTTGAACGTCTACCAGGCATTCGTTACCAAGGGACGCAAGGAGGCCCGGTTTTGTCATGACAACCTCATCAACTTCAAGGCTATGACGCGTACCATGAGTATCCGCGCGCAGCTGAGAAGGTGGCTTGAACGCTTTGGGATCACCGAGGATGGCTCGTCAGTCGCTCAGGCAGGAGCTGGAGTTAACAAGGCGGAGCAGATCCAACGATGCCTGACAACGGGTTACTTTGCCCATGCTGCACGTATGCAGCCGGACGGATCCTTCCGAAACGTGTCAGGCACGGCGGTGCTGCACGCCCATCCCAGCTCGCTCATGTTCAACCGTAAGGCTGACTGGGTCATCTTCCACGAGATCATGGAGTCCGGGGAGAAGACGTTTATCAGGGACATCACCAAGATCGAGAAGAACTGGCTGGTCGAATATGCGCCTGCCTTTTACAGTACGATGTGAAGGGCAATCAAATCATCCCGATGACTGTGCCTGCCCACGTGAGCGGCGGTCTCAATTCTGCACGGAGAGCAGTAACCCTATGTCGGAACAGGTCGTGTTTTCCAGGTTTGAGTTTCGGATGTTTGATTGAATAGATGGTTTCAGGTGTACAAAATCTCAATATCATCACATGCCCTTGACATTGCCTCCCAGTACGACGTACCGCCAAGCCTGTCTGAAAGAAGGCCCTTTCGGACATTCGATAAACGTGTTTGTGCGACCACAGGGCATCCAGTCAAGATCTCCGAAAGCTGTCCTACACTACAATGACGCAAACGATATGGCATACGATACGCTGTGAAACAATATCCACGTCGAGCTATTGTAGTGTAGTGTATGGATGACTTCCTTGGCTTTTCTCCGCTCGAGCTATTTGCAGATCGTTCTTGTCCTCATGCCCCGGCGGAGTTTGTGTACACTATGGAGCAGAGAGGAGACAACTTTGATTTCGTCTCCGCAAGGGGGGGCCCGAGATGGTGGAACAAAACCTGGAAGTGTGTGGGGGAAGAGAGAGAGGCCATTCCCGGAACTTCCTTGCAGGATCTCGGTCAGAAACACACAACAAAGGCAGGGTCGGAAGCATGCGTAGGTCCTTGGATCAAGTCAAAGGGAAATGTCAATCTTCATGGGAAATAACTCGATCAATTACTAGGCAGACTCGGGTCAGCTGGGTATCTATAGATCTTCAACGCTGCATGTAGAACGCAAAGTATCTCAGCTGCTAGGTACTATGGTTGAAGGACGATCGGCAGATGCAATGAATTCCTTTTATTTTCCATTCGGCACAGCACAGCACATGCCAGGGCAAATGGTGAATTATGATCCAGTGTATGTTGAAATGGTCTGGAAGCTTGAAGCTTAAAGCCAAGATTCCGACGGCACTCCTTGTGAATCTCCGATTTCGTTCTTCTTCAACCAGCGTTCGAAGCGCAGCGTTTCATTCTTATGTATCATGATCGGGTCGGGACTGTCTATCCGATCCGTTTGTTGTGGCCTTCCTTTCTCGTTCGTTTCCGTCGGTCATCCTCGTCGCCTAAGGTACGTTTGACGGGCTAGAGAGCCTTGGCGGGAGAAGCCGATGAAAAGGACTCGAGCAGCTGGTTCGGTTGGCGTCCATTCTCCCAATGCTGTGCCTCCCTCCCTCCGTCCCTCGTCCCCCGTCCCCCGTCCCCCGTCCCCCGTCCCCCCGTTCTCGCCGTCCCCTGAAATTGGAGAGTTGCTGACACGGCCATCATCTCGGCAAAGCTATGTCCCACTTGGTTGCATTTTATTACCAGACGAGCACTAAGACACGGTACTTCTCGTCCACAGCATTGAGATAGGGCGTAAAGAGGTATCAGGTCTTAGCCAGTCGCCGCGTAGCACTGTGTCCTGGCGAGATTTAGCGCCATCTCAACGAGAGGAGCCCAGAGGAGCCAATGCAATGGGTGGATGGAGGAGAAGCTTCAAGGAGGTTTGTTCCTGCATATCAGACCAGGGGTTCTCCAACGAAGCTTCTTTCTCTCTCTGTCAGCGGAACGTCCCCTTCGCGCTCTTTTTTTTTGAAACCGCCTTCGACCCTGATTGGCGAGTCGGGCGAGCTGTACCTGGAAAAATGGGGCGGTGTGTTGCAGCACCTGGCCCGCGCCGGAGCAGCAAATGCATTTTGTACCGAAGTATCCACCGTTCCCACACCTTGCGCAAACCCGACGAATAGGGATGGCTTTAGAGTGGGTGCTAATGATCATAGCCGGCCACTCAGAGCTCAGCGACAAGACTGAAAGGGATTGTGATCCCAGTCGACATCGTGCGAATCCCGTGCACTGACCAGCTCCTGAACCAGGGGGCATGGAAAAGACACAATGGGCCGTCCCACGACGGCGAGCCTCCCCGTTGGTGGACGAGGCACGGAATCAGAGAGCATGTGTCGGTTGGCAAGCCAGTGGGCAATCAGTTGACGGTTGGGCGCAACCCCCCGTTCGCAGTTCTTGTGAGGACACGACGAGACGGCAAACCCCCCCGCCCCTCCCCCTTTGATTGAAGGTGAGATTAGCAATTTCTATTCGTCGAGCCAGGCCACACCAGCCCAGGAAATGCAGGTCCAAAAATGGACAATTGGTGTGAACAATCGCGCAGCCGCTGACGGGAGGATCGTGGGCGGCCGTGGATGAGGTGAGGCCATCGTCCAAGTAGGAGTTTTTAGTCAACATTCGAATTGCTTGATCAAAAAGGTCAGCTGTCCCCCCAAACAGACAGATCGATTCAGACATTGGCGAGAGTCTCGACGAAGCGAAGATGCTCCTGTGTTCCTTCCTATGGTAGACTAAGGTTAAAGATGGTTTTTATGCTCGCTCCCTTTCAATCCGTGTCGTCCCTTCTCTCTTTCCACATGTGCCGCCCCCTGCACGGCGCAATCAAGCCTGCAGCGAGTGCTAGGAGGTGCGCTGCTGCAAGTGCACTGGTGGTGCATACCTACACAGTAGGTACCCTGGTGGAATATCCAGCAGGATACATAGGTACTGGTACTCCCTTGGCTTCCAGGCCGGGCCTAAGGTGGAGGAGAGCGATCCACAGGGGCCCAGTCCCTGGTCGGGCTGCTGGGTCTGCTGGGCTTGAGAGTCTCCGCTTCCTTCTTCCTTCTCCTTTCACTCCCGCGTGTGGGCGAATTGGCGTGCAACAAGGAAGCGTGCCTTCCACTGCCACAGCACTCCCTTGTTCAACGCTGCCGCTCTGTGTGAGTGCCGCACCGTCCCGGATTCTCGTGGCCTTCACCTTCCCTTCCATTTCCCTTTTCCCTCCTTTCCTCCAGCCGCTCTCTTTCTCCTCCTCTTCCTCCACCCACGCCACACGCTCTCTCCGCGGTGAAGACGTCTTCAGGTTTCCCAACTATCTACGGTCTTTCGACGCGTGGATATTACACACTCTTTTTTTTCCAAAAGTCGTCTGTTTCAGCTTCGGGACACCTTCCCTGCCGCAGGGCGTGCCATTCTTTACCACCCACAACCATCACACAACTCCAGCTTGATCAGACGAACTACCGATCGTCCGAAATCATTTCGACACTCTTTTTGCGATTCCAATATTCTAGGCCTGACCTTGAATAGTCCACTCCTTTTTTTGCGAAGCCCTCGCCAACAACAACACCAACAACACCAACATCACCACATAATACCACGACACAGCTCGCCTCTTCGCTGTAGCCTCGATCTTCATCCGTCGCCTGTATATCCTCGTTCTTTTTGGAACCGTTCTTGGCTATACTCGATCTCAACTCGCCATCTTCTGCCTCTGGAAAGACAGCCATCGCCAACCCGCAATAACTTGCTGAACCTGCATAATTATCTCCGTGGTATAGATGTTATGACAATACTCTATCGCTTGCGTTAAAGAGTCGACATCACGAAACCTTTCAAGTCGGCATCAGACTTTGCGACGGCATTATTAGTCCGGTTATTTCAGCGTTGGATTTCATCAAGGACAGGTATCACGATCGGTGAAAATGGAGGGAGATGTTGGAAGGCTTCATTACGGCTTGGGACGCCGAGTCCCAGTCGTCAGACGTCACGGCAGCATGGGAATAGGTTCGGCAACGTTGGGCTCCCGGGTCCCCACGCCCGTTCTCATTGCCCGTGCTGCTACCTCTTCCTCGGAAAAGGACTGCGTCGCAAACCCGAATCTTTGCGAAAAGCCTGTGGGCGGTTCGTCGTTGACCATCCCTATTGTGCTGGGTATCTGGTGAGTCTACCGAAATATGGCCAAGCTGATGCAAATCGACTCACAACATTCTAGTATCCCGCTTGTAGCCGCTTTCAGTGTCTTCTTCTACCTCCATCGGAGAAACGTGAAGAGGTTGGCGGCCGAGGAGGCCCATGACCCCCATAAATCCCTGGATTTTGGTTTGGACGAACACATGGGAGGCGGCAGACCTAAACGCAAGAGCTTCCTGAAGGGAGCCGAAAAGGAAGGTGGCGGTGGGTCGCGATTCAACCGCCAGCAGATGTCGATGGACATGAATCTGTCCAGCCCTTATCTTCTGCCGCCCGATACCCATGGTTCCCAGTCCTCACTCAACTCTTTGGCCCGCACCCTCAACCCGCAAGATGATCCTTTCCGCCCGGTAACCCAGTACACTGCCAGCGATGCTGCCTCGGTTCGTTCCATGCCCAGGGGAACTGACAGGGCCAGTCCTTCTCCAGGCCCCCGTGGACCTCCTCCTCGTCAAAGTTCTATGCCCAGATCTCCTGAGCCCACTCACGCCAGGCTTGGTAATGGACCAAACGGACCGCTTTCTCCTCGTGGAAGCAGACCCCCTAGAATCTCTGTTCAAGATCCCTCTTCAAATGCCACATCAGACAACGAAACAAGCGACTCGGAGAAGACTCTAACTGGCTCGCCCCGTGAGCCTCCTGCTACCGCCCAGAAGGACGGCCTCAAGCCTCTCGCTTCTCCTCAGCCGGTTAGCCCCTCGGATTCTGCTGTCGACGTGGGCTCAAAGAAGGCCTCCACGGGCCTTGGACTCGCTAATATCCCTGAGCCTATGCAGGCCTCTATTCACGATGCTTCTTCGCCCTCATCCAGCCCTGCCAGCACTCCTCGCGAGCCTACTCACTCTTCGTCGGCTGCTCCGACCATCCAGAAGCCTCAAGAGTACTTTGATCTCCCCAAGATGCCCGAAGAGCAGGATGATGATGAATTGGACCGCCGAGGACGTAACATGCAGAGAAAGTCTCAGTTTTACGAACAGCAGGATGGTGCTCAGGATGGTCCTGGCCTAGGTGTACCTCAAAACGGTGAGAACCGTCGCTTGTCTGTCGGGTTCCGTCCTCTGCCGCCTGATGATATTATGGAGTCCGAGGATCCCGAGTACCGCGCCAACCGTATCAGATCTTTCTACAAGGAGTACTTCGAGGACAAGCCTGGTGACGCGCCTCCTGTGCCGGCGCTACCCAAGAACATCGGCCAGATGCAAGGAAAGGGACCTCAACAGCAGCAGCAACGTCAACCACCGCACATCCAGGATTACGATGATATGGCCGCACCCTATTTCGACCCCAAGGCGAATGCCTTCGTCATGCCTTACGCTCAACCCGTGGCTCGCCGTGCCATGACTCCTCCCCCATCAGGCCAAAGATTCCCTGGCCCTCGCGGACCTGGTCACGCTCAAACTGGCAGCATGAGGGGTATGCCTCCTGGCATCGGTGGTCCTCCCCGCCCGGGTTCTTCCGTTTCCAACCAGATGGGCCCTCCCAGGAGACCCGGATCTGCCGCCTCCGGCTATGGACGTCCTCGCGCCGGTTCAGCATTTGCTGGTAGCAACGCCGGTAGCCGTGCGGGTAGCAGAGCTGGCGGACCCCGCAAGCCCATGCCTCCCCCGTCAGACCTGCCTACTGTTCCCGCACCATCCATGTTGAAGGATGAGTTCTCAATCTTTAACGCGGCGGATTTTGCGCCGCCAGAGACCTTCAAGGATCGTGCTCGTGGCCGTTCGCAAAGTCCGGCTGGTGAGCGCCGCCCGTACCAGATGAAGGTCCCCGTGCACTCGCCATTGGCGAATGCCTTTGAGGAGCTTCCCACTCTTCCCAGCCCGTAAGTTGATCCTGAATAGTCTTGATCTCTTGGTAACTAGTCACTTACTGACCAATGAATAGTCACGTTCTCCGCAAGTCAAGCACATTCACCGGTCTTGACTTCGCTCCTCCACCCAAGCTTGGCGGCGGCCACGCCGACAACAACAGCGACGCCGGTTCGATCCATAGCAACCGCAGTGGTGCCCTGTCCAATGTCCACCTCAATGCTATTCGCGGTGGCGCGGGACGAGTAGACCATCTACCTGCGGATGCGCAGGTATTCACGGCAGATGCTGTTGCCGACAAGCTAAAGCCGTCGTGGGGTCTGCGTGATTAAGCAGCGGATGGGATGCAAACTTTTAATTGATAATGACGAAAGCCTTTCTTCTTTATATATCCATATTATTGATTCATCATCCCCACTTCCCTCTCTTGGACATGTCATGCTCTCTCGAACCATGTATCTGCTTGGTTAAATGGTCATTTTGTAGGGTATGAGGACAATTGCGAAATGAAAGCATTAAAGCTTTTTTTTGGTTTTTGATTCTTGGTTCTGACCTCTTACTTCATCTTACCAAAAGGACGAAACAAATGCCAGGGACGGAGAGATTGATTACACGGCCACTTGGCTGGTCACTACCTCGATTTACCTACCCTCACATGTTTATTCCCATTTGGACTCTTCCTTCCCAAGTGGGAAGCGACAATTTATGTTTGGATATATGAGAGGGCTAGGAATAGGGAAAGTTCCGATGATAAGGTACTTGGCGGCCACAAGGTCCAGCTGGGATCACGAAATCTTTACATATATATACATTTTCATCATGCGCATTTACAGAGAGAACGAGCGGATGAAGACGATATGGAGAAGACGATATGGAGAAGACGATATGGAGAAGACGATATGGAGAAGACGATATGGAGAAGACGATATGGAGAAGACGATATGGAGAAGACGGGAGAAGACGGAGAGGATGACAAAATGGTCACACCACGGAGACAAATCATCATCATCATCATCATCATCATCATCATCATCATCATCATCATCATCACTGGCATTTATTTGTGTATTGTGTATTGTGTATTGTATGTATAGAACGGGCAATGGCGCGGCGCGTATGTAGGTGGGGTTTATAACTAAAGGCGGGATTGGGGAGTATCAGAGATTATGGTACCTTACCTTACCTTAACTGTTCAAACAAACAGAAAGTTCAATTTTGTTTGCTTTTTATTTGGCTTTACTTTGGCAGAGATAGAGAGGTGCCCTTTTCGCTCTTACTATACATTTACATTCGTCGTCTTCTTCTTCAAGTCTTGTGCAAGTCATGCTCGAGCCTTCAAGCCTCAAGTGTTCAAATCTTCAAGTGATGGGTGAATGGTTGGTTGGTTGGTTGGGTGGCTTGTTGTTGGAAAGAGAATTAGCATGTTTTAAGTTGTTTTAAGTTGTACCTCAGAATTTGAAACAAAATGATGTGTATATACCTATTGTGTGTCGGGATGGGATTTTTTATTTCAAGGATGAATTTGAACCAAAAAATTCAAGGCGTAAATAACTCGACATATCGGAGGTTGATCTAATCTGATTTGGCTACTGTCTCTGGTTAACTCTGAGAGGATGTAAAGCACGAACTTACTACTTACTACCATACCTACTTCCAGATCACGGAGCGGGATTCAGAGATCGCCAAAAAGCCAGTCAACTGCTTAGGGACGACGTTTCACCATCTTTCACATCTCCTCATAAAACGATCTATGTGCATTTTTTATTTTTATATTTTATATCACGACGCTAAAATGGGCTACCCTCACCTTCCCCCCACCGTTCGTTTCTCACCTGCGATAATGATGAACGAACAGTGACACCGCTTGAGCATACATACCGCGGTAAGCACACCCGTTGACTATTCACAGCTTACCCACCCTCTGCTCTTTCCGCCGCCCCCGCTTCCACTCTTCATAAAAATACTCATCAGCCCAATCTTCTGCAGGACCAGGCTCAGGCTCAGGCTCAGGAGGAAAAATAGTTTTATACTGATCGGCTAAATCTTTATAACTAGAACTAAACGACTCGGTCCGAGACTCATAAACTTTCTAAGGAGTGGCCTTGCTCATGCTAATCAGACGCTTGACGCCGACCTGAAAAAAAAAACGACAGTTAGTATTTGTTACTTGTTACTTAAGAGAATAGTGGGAGCACTTACCATCCAGTTGCCACACTCCTCCGTCTTCTCCTTGGAAATCTCCACCTGGATCTTGGATGCAATGTCATAGTTCTTCTCAGCCAAAGCGCCGGCCAACTGAGCGAGCTGATCAATGGTCTCGGTCTTGATGAGCTCCTCGTTGTTCAAGTGATCGAAGAGGATGTTAAGACGCTTTTGAGTGTCCTTGACCTGGGGAGCGAAGGAGGCAGGGGCCTTGGAGGCCACGCGCTGCATGTCCCTGCTCAGGATCTCGACGAGCTCCTTGGCGTGCTCGGGAATGTTGGAGCGGTCACCGGGAGGGTATCTGGCCTTGGGAGGGGCAGCTGTAGGAGGGGCATGCTGCTGGGGAGGACCACCCGCAGAGGGAGGAGGACCGCCACCGGGGGGTCTAGACGCCGGGGGAGGTGCAGAGAAGCCAGCCCGGGGTGGTGGTGGGGCGGCATATTGCTGAGACGCTGATGGAGGGGCAGGAGTGTATGCGCCAGACGCCGGAGGAGGAGCTATTCCAGGACCGGATGGTGGTCCCTGGGTGTACTGCTGCGTGGCAGGAGCAGGGGCGTACCGGTTGGTTGGGGGCGCGGTGGCGGAGGGAGGAGGGTTGTAAGGAGAAGCAGTCCTGGGGGCAGGCGGGGCTCCGTATGTGGGCTGTAGACCGGCAGCAGGTGGTGGGGGAGCATAGGGGTTGGTAGCGTTGCTTGAAACCGAAGAAGGTCTGGGAGGGCCGGTTGGTGGCGCGCCGACATTTCTCGGAGGCGCAGAACCCTTCGGGGGCGGCGGCGGCGTAGGCGCACCTTGCTGGAAGGGACCACCAGTTGGTGGCGGAGACGCAATGCCAGGTTGGCCGGGGAAAGGCGAGGTCATGGGGGCGACACTCGGCGTGTTCCTACGAGGAGGAGCCTTGGTCACCATAGGCACGTCATTCCAGACACCGTCTCTCTTGAGCTGAACCGGAGGCCCGGTGGACTTGGGCGGACCACCAAGTGGGCTAGGCTGACCAAAGTTCTGAGCGGGAACGCCATATCCAGTGACGGGAGTAGGAGCATAGTTTTGAGTGGGTGGTGTGTATCCGGACGGGGCATAGCCCTGGTTCTGGGGAGCTCCGTATGTAGACGAAGGGGCTCCGTATGTAGAGGGGGCTCCGTACTGAGGAGTGGTGGCAGGAGCAGGAGCGATAGGAGGAGCGTAAGGGTTACCGGACGTAGCGCTTACCGGCGCCGGTGCTGGCGGGGCGTAAGGGTTCAGAGGGCTGGGGTTGACCGGAGCGGGGACTAGGCTGGGCTGTTGATACCCGACAGGAGCGGCGGTACGGGAGGTGGTGCGAGCAGCGGGGGTGGCTTGACGAGCGGCAGCCTGAGTACCGGCCTTCTGGGTAGCAAGCCTGACACGGTTGCGCGCCGTCTCAGCGGGAGGATAGCTGGTGGGCAGAAGATCGAGATACTTCTGGGCGACCGACAGCTGGCCATGAGCAGCCGCAATGTCAGCATACTCTAGGTACTTGTCGTACAAAGCAGCCAGCTTCCACCCTCAGTAAGAGACTTCTCGCTATCGTTGAACTTGGTCACATGGCGAAAGATGGACACCTTCTCGATGAACTGCTGAAGAGACTTGGCATGGACCGAGAAGGTGGAGTCACCGGTCTCCTCCTTCAAGGCAGCCTGTTCGGTCTCCTGGAGCTCGTCCACCCAGATACCGACAACCTTCTCCAGCTTGGAGCCGATCAGGTAGCAGAAAGAGGCGTCCTTCCTGTTACCAGACTCGAAGATGCGGTCACCCAGGGCCTCGCAGAGGTCCGGGAACTCGGAAGGATCAGCATAGGTGCAAAGGGTGACCAGAGTCTCCTTCCAGTCAGCAAGATCCGCATTGTAAGCAATATCCCACAAGTTCTTGGCCACAACAGAGCTGATGAGGCGCAGATAGCTGGGGCTGCCTCTCTTCTGTTGAAGATAAGCAGTCTGAACCTTCTCCACAAGCTCCTTGCTGCCGCAGTTGGCGATCAGGAAGGCATCCGACCACCGTTCCTCCTTCAAGCAGATCTCCACCGCCTTCTCAAACTTGCCCAAGATCAAAGCCTTGGTGATCTGATCCTCCAGATGAGTGTTGCCTACGCTCAGAAGGTTGAAGGGGTTGTCAGTCTTGGCTCCCTTGGTGGCGGCGATATCGGACAGGAAATCTTCGCCATCGTCGCCGTCTCCCCACATGCTTACAACACGCCTATGCTTCTTGCCCTCTCCGCCGTTAGGCTTGAGAGTCGCAGAATCCTCCTGCTTAGGCTCAGGAGACTTGGGCGTCTCAGCATCCTTGGCCTCCTCAACCGGCTCGTCCTTGGTGAAACCAAGACGCTCAATGATCTTGGTTCGTCCATCAGACTCACTGAGGGTCTGCATAACCTGCCACTCGGCCTTCTCCTCGTCAGTCTTGGCGTTTTCAATGTGCTCTTCGCAAATGCTCGCAATGTCACCGCTTTGAATGGCTTGCTCGAACTTCTCGGTCGCGGAGCCAATGTCGGAGTCGATGGAGAAAGAAGAGATCTGCAACTTGGAAGACCTCTTCTGGCCAGGAGCTGTCTCTGCCTTGTTAAAGAAAACAAAGCTTGCCGCCGAAGCCGAAGGAAACACCGACGGGGCGTTCAATCCAGGCGGGTGCCCGGGGCAGAGAGAAGGAAGCCGCCTGCGGCTGGGATGCAGCCTTTGAGAAGAAGTCATCGTCAGAAAGGTTGTTCTGAGCCGCGGGAGCCGCCGAGGGGTTCGTGTTCTGAAGGGTCTGGATAGCAATCTTGCCGTCGAAGGATGCTGTGGCCGACAAGTTCGGGTTGTGGGGGTTGAAGCGGGTGTAGAAAGTCCAGTTGGTAGCCTCAGGGAACTCGCCATAACGCTCTCCAGTCTGAGGGTTCCAGATAAGGGTCCTGTTGTCCTTGCCACAAGAAAGAAGCAACCCTGAATCCTGCTGGCACCACGAGAGCGACAGAACACCCTGATCGTGGCCCTGGAGAGTCTTCTCTGGCGCCTGGGAGTTACGAAGGTTCCAGAGCAAGATGACGGGAGCGGTATCGTCGGATGTACCCGTCAAGAGCTTAGTCGAGTTCTCTGGGTCCCAAGCGATGGCGCTGACAGCCTTGCGATGGTTGTTCAAAGTAAGAGAAGCCTTCTTGGTCTTGAGATCCCATACAGTCACAAAGCCTCCTGCACCACCAGTGGCCAGGATGTTGGCGACCTTGGGGTTCCAGGCCAAGCAGTCGATATCGTGGGCGGCAGCGGCGCCGAGGCGGAAGGGAGCCGAGGTGTCGTTAACATCCCAGACGAACAGCTCACCCTTGGCGCCAGCAGTCGCGAGCACCTGGGGTCTCAGAGGGTTGAACTGTAGGGCCTTGATGGGACCCGTGTGCTTGGTGGTGCGCGAGATGAGGGCGTCCTCACCGGCGATCAGCTTCTCGGCGTCCCAGAGATCCAATGAGCCGTTTTCCATGGCACCGGCAATAATACCCCGAGGATGTTCGTCACTGGGCTGGCCCCATGCGATGTCGTAGAACCTACATGCATAGTGTCTTGTTAGTGCGCCAGAAGGGATACCATGTTTAGGAACTCGCAGGCATACCTGGATTCTGCGGCAATGCTAACTAAGGGCTGGAGCTCCACGCCCTGTTCCTGACTGTTCAAGTTGAGATCCCATAGCTCCAGCTTGGTCTCGTCTGAGAAGTCGGCATCGACGGCGCCTGACCGGGTACCCGTTACGAGAAGGGGGTTTGCGCCGGGCGACCAGGCGAAGGCCGCAGTCCGGGGGATCTCTCTCAACCGGACCATGTTGTTTATATTCTTGTATGTGAACGTCGGCCGCGGGGGTAGTGATACGGCTACACGGGTGGTTTGAATTCGGTGGGCGGAAGAGGGGGAAGTCAGGGGAAGCTGAAGCTGGCTGGCCGGCTTGTCGAAGAGTGGGTGGGAGTGCGGGTGGCGTTGATTAATTAAGGTTTTGGGGGGTGGATGGGTGGTATTAGAGCTCTAAGTCGTCAAATCGTGCAATTGGACATGAAAAGAAGAAGCAAGACAAGGACAACGAAAGCCCCTCCGCGGTCGAGGCTGTCTGTAGTCGGTTGTCGTGTCGGTCTGTCGGGAACTGTAGTAAGGTAGTATGAATGGAATCGGAGTCGCGAGAGATGTTGCCGTGTCCAGGTGTTAGAGGGCAGTAAGCTGAAGTGGAATTGCGGGTGCACCGCATCCCGTCTGAGGTGTCCATTGTTGCCAGATTGCGGATAACGACTGCTGTCTGTCCCGCCCCCGGCCCCTGACGTTGGCACCACTGGACTTTCCATTGCTGGCTTCAAGGCCGATGCAACCACAGCTCAGGGGCAACGGCAACAGAGAGCCCGGACCACATCTCGTTAAACCCTAACCCTCCTTTATCTCAGTACACGCAACTGCTACCTCTTTCCCTCTTCCCATGCTGTCGTGATCTGTGTATGAACCTGTCTTCGGTGAAAAATCCAAATGACTATGTATGGCGATTCAAACGACCATCGCCATTCTCATATGTGCTTCCTAGAGCTCCCAAAGTCAACTGGGCGAACCCCTATTGGATGACGTACAAATCGCTTGGTGCATGAACTTCCAGGATGGCCCAAGCTTCCCCGGTGTCACGATGGTGGGGTCGCGACTTTTCGAACTTCAGCCTTTCTCCATGTCTCACTTGCTAGTTCTCAACGACGTCCAACACCTGAATGACACTTCTCCTCTGTAATCTCCAACGACATTCATTACTTATAAAAGGGGTTGACGAACCAAGAGCAAACGCTCATTCACCGAAACGAACGATATTTCCTATATACGGCAGTCATTTCAGCCTCGCCAGGACACACCAACGCATCTTAGACCTTCAATACCCGGCTGAAAGTACACAACAAGCCACGGGCACTTCACCAAAAGCCGTCCTCGTCTCACTCCAGAGACTCTATTTCTTTTTCGAAACTTACACCACCAACCTTCAAAACCACCAACCATGACAGACACCACGCGCTGGAAAGCCACCGTCCACGTCCGCGGCCTCGCACCCGCCGTGACGACTGCTACCCTCCACGACGCCTTCATTCCCTTTGGCGAGATCTCTGATATCTCGCTACCCAAGAACGAGAAGCCCGACTCGACGGATCCGCACAGGGGGTTTGCCTATGTCGAGTATGAGGACGAGGAGGACGCCAAGGAGGCCATTGACAACATGGATCAGTCCGAGTTGTTTGGCAGAGTGATCAGGGTTTCGGCGGCCAAGATACCCAAGAGCGCGAAAGAAGGGTTGGGGTCTAGGACTGCTGTTTGGGAGCAGGTGAGTTTGTTTCTTCGGTGGTTACTCGAGAAGAAAGATGAGGCATGGACTTGTGCTAATGGGTTGGCCTATAGGAAGGATGGCTGGCTGAGAATGCCGTCAGTGAGGAGGACCGTCTGGCTGCTACCGCACCTGATGACCCTATGCAAGGCCTCGAGGGACTGGATGTTGCTGGACCGAGGCCGCAATAAGTGCCGGTCATTGCTCGGTCCGTCTTCAGCGAACGGACTCTCCTCGATGAGGCTCAGGGAGAGAAGCGAGTCTCCGTGTTGATACCCGGAAAGAAAGCATTGCATGGCTACGGCGTTGAATGGCATCATTGGGACCTGGATTTTATCTTATTTTGGACAGTTTGTATCACGTTCTGTTGTTTCTCTTACCACTAGACATCAATTCGACAATGTCACTTATACACCACAGACCGCTCGAGAGCCCTCGCTCAAGACGAAAAACTAACAGCCATCACCCTCCCAAGCAACCCACACTCAACTCTTTTTGTAGGATTAACCGTGTTGATTCCTGGTCATCATGTACAATGCTACGCAAAAAAAAGGAGGCCGCCTTTCTCGAGAACGCCTTCCTCAATCCCTTATCGAACATACGCCCCCTGCCAACGCTTCTCGGTAAAGCGTTTAGTGCTTCTCCTCGTCGCCGTGAGCGGCGTGGGCAGCGTGGGCATCGGCAGCGCGGTTCTGACGCTTAAGACGGATGGTCTTGTCGACGTAAAGGTGGCGGGTGATGGAGTAGAAGGCAGCGCAGACGGCGAAACCGACGACGACACCTAATCATTCAAGCAGTTCCCCTCCTTATCAGCACTCGGCCCAGGATGGCGTGCGAAAGTATAATAATCTGGTGCAAGCTTACCGAGAGGCCACAACTCAGCGGGGACGCTCTTCGCGCGCATGCGGAGGCGCTGGGTGACGGTGTGGGCTGTAACGTTGATGATGTCGTCAGTCGCGGATAGCTCTCCCCCCTCGCGCAATTATTTTGAAACCCTCCTCCAACTCCATCGCCAATTGGGCAAAAGCTCTTGAAGCTCCGAACAAGGTGTAATAGGTTTTGTCGTCGTGGGCTTATGCAATTGTTGGTGTTTCGTTCACGTACCGGCCTGCTCCTCCTTCTGCAACACCAGAAAACAACCCTCGGTTAGCAACTCTGACGCAATGGCACCTGCTCCCCCGAGCTTTCGGAAAAGACGCGGACTCAGGACCGGGGGATAGCTCTTACGGGAATGGGGCGCATCATGCGGGGGGTCTGGCGGAAAGCCTGACGGGCGACACGGGAGGCGAACATCTTGCCGGTGTTTCGTGGAGTGGAGATTTGTCTTGGAGGATTGGTGTTGCGCTACCGCGGTGGACGAGGAGAAGCTTTTGCGAGCAAGGCAAGGTTGAGGTTGGCAATTGAACTTCGGCTCTTTCTTTGCACTTCAAATCAGATGCGGGAGTTCGAGCGTTGAGCTTCGGCTGCACGGACACCATCCGGGGGTTCCACCTGCTGTTAGGTGAGGTCAGCCCACCACAGCTGGCGTCCAGCTGTCCCGGATTGGGTCCCGTCGAGGTAGGAAGCATCATCGAGTGCCGTCACCATTTGGGGGCTGCCAAGCCGTTGCATGACTCTCAGCTGTTGTGAGCCGCGTCGAGTGCTGAGGACGACTGGAGGTGCGGAAATTGGTGCCTCAGGCTTCAGAGTCGCGGGTCGTCGCTGCAGTGGACGAAGCTTTGGCTTTCAGAAGGTGCATTGCCTGGCACTGCCTGGACGGAGAAGGAGGACAGTGCACTGACTGCAATTCGTCAGAGCTACCAAAAGCTAGCACCCGTGCTGTGGAATCGATCCACTCGGCTCACCTCGCCTCATCATCGACACAAAGGTCAGAATCTCTCAGCACAGCTCCTCCACGTCCCCGTCAACACCCGCACCTGGTCCAATTCCACAAGCCATTGAGCTTCCACCTCTCAACACCAAACTCCCAGACACCACCACAACCCCCCGCGACCACCACCGCAAACCAACCGCCAAGATGTCCGACGAGGATCGCGTTACCAAGCCCTTCAAGTTCGTCACTGGTATGTACAGCTATAGTCCCTGAGAGAATTGGTCCTCTGCTCCCCAAAGCAAAGATCTAAATTCCCTCGGCAAAAATCATGCCGTGACCTCATTGCGCCGGACCGGAATTGACTGCTAACGAAACACACGTCGCAGCTGGTATGCAATAACCTTCACCTCTGCCCTTTTCACACAAACACAATTAGCTCTCCGCCGAATCTGCCGAAACCGGTAACAAGCTTCAGAAGCTACACTCCTGCGATCGCCGAAATCCCCGATGTACCCCCGTTGGAGATAGAGCTCAAAGCTCGTTCGGCACGGGGGAGAGGAAGAGGAGTGCAATGTGGAGACACCCGAAACATTCGAGCTTTGCGCGGCGCGGGGCAAGCATCACACCTTCTCCATGCCGGCAGCAGCTAGCTTTGCTTTTTGCGGATGCGGATTCACGAGCGAGCAGAGCCGTCAAACCACAACCACCGCCAAAAGAGAAACCGCCAAAAAAGCCTGTGTTCTGACGTATTGCGTGTTTTTCACAAACAATTAGGTGTCGACGCCCGTTTCCCCAACGTCAACCAGACCAAGCACTGCTGGCAAAACTACGTCGATTACCACAAGTGCATTCTCGCCAAGGGCGAGGACTTCGCTCCCTGCCGCCAGGTTAGCCGCACCACTTTCACCAGTTCCACCAGCCGTTGTTTTCCCGGATGAGAGAAAGAGGAGGGAAAACTATGGAGGCCGGGTGGGAATGCAACGCTCGACCGACTATGACAAAACTATGGGATGAAAGGAAATTCGAATGCTGACTGAAAACTCGCCGTTGATTAGTTCTGGCTCGCCTACCGCTCTCTCTGCCCCAGCGGCTGGTACCAGAGATGGGACGAGCAGCGTGGTACGTAACGGGGAATCCTCTTCCATTGCTCAAAGGGGGCCAACTGAGACATTGTTTACTGACATCTTCTCACAGAGGCTGGCAACTTCCCCGTCAAGCTGGAGTAAATATACCCCTGAAATGCTTGTAGGACGTGATAGGAAGAGCCGGATGGATGATGGCCACGGTCGACCACGTATCAGGGCTCACTTTACCTTACATCGAACCTTGTTGTATTAGAAAGCTCTTGGTAGTACGGGGAAATGCACATAAAGAGCACCTTGGGGTTGACGAAACGAAGGTTTCTCATTAATTTCATGCTAAAGTGATATATTGGAATAGACCGTGAATAGAAACAGAGCTTCCTTTGCTGAACCGAATCTGGTATTCCGCTAGGCTCTGGATAATAAGTCCTAGCATGTGGTATCATGAAACCCCTTTAACCCCTATTCACTATCTCAAAGTGAAACAATCCAAACAAACCGAACACCGAAAAACGCCGTGTATGAGTAGTCTTCCAGATGCAATTGACTGAGTCGGGCTCATCCGTCCCATCCTGACTTACACTACTGAGTCCTCATGACCCCATGACTCCACCGTCGTGGCTCTCTCACTCATCATCAGAGCTCATAAACTCATCATCGTCATCAAAGCCAGCAAAGGTCTTGACCTGCGCCTTCGGCTGGGCCGTCTCCTTTTCCTTGCCTTTCAACGTCTCCTTGACCACTGTCACCTTCGGTTCGGGCTCCGGTTCCGATGGCGGCGTGGCGGCCCCATCCCGCTCACCCTCAACCTCCTTCTCATCTTCACTCATCGCCTCACCACCTGAAGACGACCCACTCCCACTCCCCGAGCCACCCTCCCCAGGATTCGCCGCATTCGCCGCAGCCGCCGTAGCAGCCAACATGGACAAATTATCCGTATAAGCCCCGTTCTTCAGTGCCGTCATGACCGCCTCCCTCGTCCTCTCATCCAGCTCCTCCTTATCCTCCACCCACTTGCCATCCAACATGAATCCCCCACCTCCACCTCCCGCTTTCCCGTTCCGGATCTCCTCCTGCCGTTTTTCGGTTTGCTCCACAATCTGCTGCCACCGCTTCCTCCGCTTCTCCTTCTCCTTCTTCTCCATGTCCGGCTTGATGGCCAGGTAATCAGCCAATGCCTTGGCTTCCGTGATGGTCCGCAACCTACGGCCGTCTAGGTTGCGCGAGGACCCGTTATCTTCACCCTGGAGCCCGTTCTTCTTGCGCTTGGAGGACATGCGCCCGCCTTGGGCGCGGAGCTGGGAGCCGAAACCGCCTTTGCCGCCGCAGAGCGGGAGGGAGAGGCGGAGGGGAAGGAATTCGACATTGTTGCTGTTGGGTAGAAGAGATGAGAGGGGCTGGGTGGAAGATGAGGGGAGCTGCTTGTTGGAGTTGGTGGTGAGAAGGAAGCGGAAGGAAGAGGCGGCTGCGGCTGTTTCAGATAGAGAGCCGGGCAGGCGGGTGAGGAGCCGGTCGCGAAGCTCGGTGATGGTTGTTGTGGCGGGGAGGGCGAAGGTTAGGGTCGGTGGAAGGCCGGTGCCGGCTATGCTGGTTATGAGGACGTTGATCATATTGGTGGGATCCATTGTGATGATATTGACAAAAGTGTCGGCAGGTTCTTCTTCCGTAGGCAATTGTTTTGGGGTTGATGCACTGGTTTGGATGTTTGATGCTGATCCACGGCGTGGTGTTGATGATGATGGATGGCAGATAAGCAGCCTCCCTGCTGTGGAGCGTGAATGCGCTTATCGAAGTCTTGGTCGTCGATGACGCTGAACGATCGTTATCCGTGAAATGTTAAAGCGCCACGACAGAAAATTTGATCGGAATGGCTCGTAGGATGGCTGATGGATGGTTCGCGATTGGATTCGCTTGGTTGCATTGAAAAGAGGGCCGTTTTGGAGATGAACTTTGCCTCTGCGATGTCAGTTTGGAGAACCTTCATGGTCGCTGACACATGGGTCAAGCCACACGGTCCAGCCTTATCTGCGGACATCACCTGGGCGGTGAGGCGCCAAGACTTTGACAAATGTGGCTTGTGCTGCCCCGCTAGTTTCGCAACCCTACTATGGCATTGGAATTTCGGCACGCAGCCCACAAATCACTTAGATCTCGAATTTTGAGCTCTCGACTCCCGCAACGCCGACACTTTCCCCGGACCAACACCACCAATTGTGTCGACACCGGTCATCTCGTCAAAATGCTTATTCCCAAGGCTGACCGCAAGGCGATCCATGAGGTATGCGAAATCGATTTTTCTTGACGGCCATACATCGAAAAAACACAAGGAAGGAGGGTGGACAATTGTCAGAGATGGGAAACGAGGGCGTGCAAATGATTGCTGGGGGCCGTCAAGTTGAAAGTTGAAGCCAGAACGTTATGCTGACCATTTTAATGTAGTACCTCTTCCGTGAGGGCGTCATGGTCGCTGAGAAGAAGTAGGTTTCCACCCGAAATCCAAGTCAAAAGATATACACACATCCAGTCTTGCACCGTCCGAATCGCACGCAAATTTCCGAAGGGGAGGGGGGAGTTTTCGTCGCCGTCCGCCATTTCTGCTGTCGAACGACCATGCACACGACGAAACGTATTACACACGAGTTTCAGCCCGTTATCGCGACATCGACCCAAATCCACGCAGACACAGAAAAAGACAGACGCCAGCACGAACTCGCCCTCTATCCGCCGTGAACACCCGCCAGCGCGAAACGAATAACACATGCTAATTCGTAACACTCGTTTAGCTATGAGTCGACCCACGAGACCGGTATCCGCAACCTCTTTGTCATCAAGGCTTGCCAGTCTTTGACTTCCCGCGGCTACGTCAAGACCCAGTTCTCGTGGCAGTACTACTACTACACCCTCACCCCCGAGGGTCTCGACTACCTCCGCGAGTGGCTCCACCTCCCCGCTGAGATCGTCCCCGCCACCCACATCAAGTCGCAGCGTTCTCACGCTCCCCCCCGCGGCATGCTCGGTGGTGAGGAGCGCCGCGAGCGCCCCTTCGGTGGCCGTGGCCGTGGTGACCGTGAGGGCGGTTACCGCCGCCGTGAGGCTGGCGAGGGCAAGGAGGGTGGTGCCCCCGGCGAGTTCGCTCCCCAGTTGTAAGTTGCCCTCGGCCTCTGTTTGGGCCGTCAAGGTTCTTTTTTTCGGGTAACTAACATTTGTGTCCCAACAGCCGTGGTGGTTTCGGTCGTGGCCGCGCCGGCCGTGGTGAGGCCCCTCCTTCGTAAATGTCGGAAGGCGGAATAATCTCTCTCAATCTTGGGTTGCCTGAACCACAGGCATAAAACAGCATGGGCACGACATGTACTCTTAAGTCTTCACGAGAAAGAGTGAAAGGGTCGACCAGCAATTGCACACCTACTCGCCGGGAACCGTGAGTGGTTTGTGAGGAGTTTGGTGGATAGAGATCATTCGGAAAACTTCTGCATTCAGGGTCATCATTTGCGGTCAATCGATTTCACTCGCGGCGTTCATTTTCGTGATTCTATACCTCCATCAAGAACAGCTTTCTGCACGTCTTACTCTGGCCGAGTGCGTTTATGACGTGATGACTTCGGAAAGGGGAAAGCCGGACGTTGCATGGAATGAAGGTTCGGGGAAAAACTACCAAGAGGCATAGAGTTTGGCTCCCTAGGACAGAAACGGCCTTCAGATAGCCAATTCCATGTTGCTGGTGTCGTAGGACAGGTACTCAGGCATTCACAAACGGTTCCCTTTTCACATGAACATGAAGTGACATTGTGGTGATCTTTCTCCAACGCAGGTAAAAGACCAGGATCGTCTTGCGGAATGAAACTCCAACGTACCCATATTCACCAGCCTCACCTGTGTCATTTGTTTACACCATGACTGATTACCCCTGAGCTCTTGGCCTGCAATCAGGAGAGGGCTCCAGGAGTTCGGACAGTTTGTTTACGAGATGGGAATCGTTAAATTACCATTCCGCCCCGGATTGTAACTTACACGTACAACGAAATACACACGTATAACCCTGGACGTCATCCTGTCATTACTGCCTGCGCTTCTCATTCATTCGACGCCAAGATATTTCTCTTCTCCAGTTCAACGTCAACTGGTTTGTTGATTCTTCGACACATCATCCAAAAGGAGAAAACCTTTAAGATTCCACCGAATAAAGAGCCATCTAGTTTCTCAAAAACACAGGCAGAACAAATGGACACCGGCTTTCGATCTCATCGCCGCGGCGCATCCGCGCGCCTTCGCAAGACGTTTCGGTACCCAAGTGAGGATGAGGCCGATGATGGAAATGCGCTTGAGGTTATGGACGAGCAGGGTATGTCTTTACTTCGTTTCCGTTCTTTTGCTCCGTTGCACTTCAAAATCCTTGGTTACATTCAAAACCACTGTGCCTTTTGGTCAACCTTCCCTTCCATCATTTTTACCCTCTCATCGCTCCTACTCCTCCTCATCTTCCGTTCCCACCTACACATCTCACACTCAACTCGACCCACCCCAAGCCTCAAATTCCTCACCTCTCATCCCTTCCCCTTCCCCCTTCCCCCTCCCCAAGTCATCCATCGATACTAACACCATGCTGTAGAACAAGACTCCCTAATCACCACCCTCTCCCACCAAAACTCCCAGCGCAACATCCAATTCCGCTCCCTCCTCCTGCTAATCCCCGCCATCGCTTCCGTCCCTTACCTCCTCGCCCTCTTCCTTCCTTCCCCCTCACAGAGGAAATCCTCCACCGCGATATTTTCTCTCCTTACCCTCACTTCCCTAGCCGCCACCACCTTCATCACGGTTAAATTACCTCCAACAAAAACCGGCTTGTCATTCGTCGACTCACTCGCCGCTTCCGCTTCCACGAAGAAGAAGAATGGGAAGGGCGACGGGAAGCCAGGAAGAAGTGGAATGAGAGTCCCCAACCTTTATGGCTCCGGCATGCTTGTCCCCTCGCCGCTGGAGGTCTGGTTACCTTATCTCAACGTGGGACTTTGTTTGCTGGTATTATTGACGGGGTTGGTCACCGGTAGTGGGGGACATCAAGTAGGAGGAAGCGTGGGAAAGGTGTACCTTGCCGCGTTGCCGGGAGTGATTTATGCGGCTACGGTGGTGGCGAAGGTGGTTATGGCGGGGGTTGATCCGGAGGGGGAGTTGGGGGGTTTGAGGTATGGGTATAAGGGTGCTTAGGAAGGCAGTTGGGGCTTTGGGGCGTTGGTTGTTGAGGTGCGTGGAATGGAAGGGAGAGGACAGAGAAGGGGAGGGGGGGGGGGGGGGGGGTTCGAAGGAGTGGGCATAATGGAGGGGAGCGGAGGACCAACGCGATGAGAATGATGTTGAGAAGCAGAGGTTATTGGGGCGTGGAAACGAAGTGTTTATAAAATCATAGGATGTGGATGAAGCTTGACAGAAGCAAAAATCTTGACGAGAAGTGTGCTGGTTCAAGTCGGAAGAAGGACGCCCCGGTTATGCAAGGCAATCAAGTAAACAACAAACGCTCAGGAGGTGTCTTCCTCGGGTGGACAATGCATGGGAGAGAAAGACACGAGGCGGTTTGAATCAATGTACCTGTTAAGTTCTTGTACTCGCCATGTGATCAAGGTGATGTTGGGACTTCCAGGGAGCTGCAACATGAAAGATAAGATGCGGCTCGTCGAAAATGGCGTCTGTTCGCAAAAAGTACTTGTCCTACCGCGTTTACAGCCGCGGATTGTGCTCAGGATGCAAGAAGCCCCTTTCCAGGTTTTCCGCGTCCAGAAGTGTCAGGTTTTCACAAAGTTAGCGAGGCTAGATTAACACCTCGGCGTAGTCCAACCATATCAAATGGGAGATGCAGTGTCATTCGTCTTCACCTGAACACCAGAGTGTAGTGGCAGCATTACCGACTTGACAGATACTCGTATTATTATTGGTACTGTATGCACATGTTAAACAAAGCAGGAACCGCTGGCAAAAGTACGCGCAATATTGTACCAGAATATCCAAGTCCAAGCGAGGTCCAAACCCATGGCTTGTGACACCGCTTGCCATCATTGCCCCTCGATACCCTTCTGTTCTTTTTGATTCCCTCCCTCTACCCCCGTCATTTCCACATCAGGTCCTTTTACTCCCGCCTTCTCTCTCACCCGCTCAAGTCTCTCCTTCAACCCTTCGTTCTCCCCCATCATCTTCTTCAAGAAATCCACGGCTAGTTGTATCCCTCCAGCTTTGCTAACACCGGCCTCCTTATACCCCGGTACAATGATCGACAGGTTATCATAGGCGGACTTGATCATGTATCTTCGCCGTTTCTCGCTGTCGATATGGTTCAGCCGCTTTTGTTCCAGCGTCAGGTTGGGCTTCTTCTCCTTATAGGAACGACGCCTCTTGCCCGGCCGAGCGGGCTTGTCCTCTCCGTCTTCGTTTGGTGATCGTGCGTCACCGCCCTGCTGGTCTATGGCTTCCGACGCTGAATTGGGCGACGGAAGGGTTCCTTGACGGGAAAGTTTCTTCCCCCTTGCTCCTCCTGGAATCGATCCGACTGATCTTCTGCCGCCTAACGACGTCATGGGGGAGGAAGGAGTGAACCCGGATTGGGAGAAGGGACTGTATGGATTGTTGGAGAAGGTCACGAGGGACGCGGGTGATGCCATCTCGCCATCATTATTGGTGTTATCGACCGTTGCCCTTCTCTTCTTGGGCGGCCCGCCTTCTTCTTGTATGGAGGCCAGTGCCTGAGGTAAAGAGGGGCGATGATGTGTTCGTAGCTTAGGCGGTGATGATGGGTTGTGGTGCTCATTCACTCCCTGATTTACGGGACTGGAGGCACGCGTGGTAGCGGCACTTTGGCTAGGCACCAGACAGTCCAACACCTTCAGTTGTGCTTGGCTCATGACCTCTGAGCTCTCCTGTGTTCTCTGAGGTGTGAAGGTCGACTGGGAGAAGCTGGTGTCAGTGCCAAACTGGATCCTTACCGGCTGCTCATGCTGGTAGCTGTTTTGGCGGGGTTGCTGCGATTGGCCCGGCTGTTGGAAGATCATATCGCGGTAGAAGTTGTTGGGGGGCTCGTGGACGGGCGGGTAAGGGCGCATAGCCAAAGCGATGGCTGCACCGCCAAAGCTGTTGTCTGCCTGGTTTTGAATGCCATGTTGCCCAGCGGGAGCCCTTCCGCCCCCACAGATTTGCTCGAAACTAATGCCGCCATGACCACCTACCTCGCGTGGGAGGGCGGCCGCTGCATTCAGGAGATCATGGATACCATCGGTTGATCGTGGCGGCGCTTGGAGCTGGTGGTTGAACGATGGACCACCAAAGTTGTGTACACTTGACAAGTCATTGAAGCCAGTGTTATAGTTGGTGCGGGCGTAAGGGGCGAACGATGTATTTGATCCAACAAGGTTTCCTGGCCTCATATTCCATTCCGATGTGAAAGATAGCCCTTCTTGCTCAAAATTCGGTGATATTGCGAAAGGGTTGTCATCTGCAGAAGGATCATCCAGGTTCTGGAAAAAACTGTCAAGCCACCTAGACTGGTCATCCGTGAGAAGAGTGGAGAGGGGTACCGGTGGCTGTGTTGTATTTTGGGGCAAATCTGCGAGAGACCAGGCACGGTCAGTTTGTAAGAGATTTGTTTAGAAAACACGTGCTAAGGGGGTAGTGATGAACTCACAACCAAACATCGGCTGAGGCTGGTCAGGTACCGGCGGCTCCTGATGATGTAGCGGCGGAGACGGCTGCATGTCGGCCGAGGCAAGACCCGCAGGTGGCAGATTATGTGACGAGAGCTGGAGTGAGGGATGGCGCGAGGCTGTATGAAGTTGTTGTTGAGCCATGACAGGGCAAGATGACGTAGGTAGAAAATCTGGCAAGTGTCGTGGCTGATTCAGCGGGTTAGACACTAGCTTGGGTTGTCGCCGCGGGCTTGTACTCGGACTATCGGGGCATGCCAGGCAATGGCGTTTGCAATGGTTACAACTCCAGGACGTGGATCCAGCTTAGCCGGGACTTGTCCGGGCACGGGAAATCAAGAATATCCAATATGCCGGCCGATTGCTGGAGCGGCTGGGGACCGATGGGCTAACGGCTGCGGAACAGCCGAGCACGGGGGACGGCTGCCGGAGACCCGCTGAGCGGACCCGAGAATCGTCGCGGGGCCGGGGGCCGGTGGCCGAGAGATTGGCGGACGCGGCCGGCTGTCGGTGGGTGCGTGGCGGTTTGATGATGCACCGCCGGCGTGGGTGAGGTGAGGTTGTGGTGTTGACGCGAGTGGCCGGCTCCGCAGTCGTTTTCGAGGCACGTGAAAGACGGGTTGGTTGTCGTCGGGACGTACCTCGATGTACCGGGCCGATCAGATGGAAATGCTGGCAGGTCGAAACGGTTGAATGTGACGAGGGACTCGGCTGGTTGCACTAAGAATGAAGACGCCTCGGGCACGTGTATCGGTAGAAGGCTGTGACAAAGTGGGAGCTTGGTTGCTTTTTGGAAGAGAATGCGACGATTTCAAGGCAAAAGCTGGGAGGAAAAGGCACACTGCGAAGTGAAAGCCCGCTGAAATGCCGGATAGGTAGAGGGATAAGGTAGGAACCCGAATGTGAGGTGGAAATTGATGTATGTTAATGTAGAGGCAAGGTAAGGCATGTAAAAGCTGAGGCCAGGCGGACAGGACGTCAGTTAGGTGTTATGGTAGAGGTAAGTGCTTGATAGCCGCAGTCGGACAGAAAGCACAAGTCAAGAACTGGGATCGGTTTTGGATTTTGCGGGGGATCTGATCTGGAAGAGCCGCTAATTTAAAAAGAAAACCATTTTTGCATCGTGGAAGGTTGGTGCAGGATTTCCCCTGGCTCGTGGCTTCCTTCAGTCATCGGTCGGCTGAGTGGTTCCTTCTTGTCTGGACGTGGTTCCTGGCTCCCGCTACAAGAAGTGGAGACACCTACGCAAGGTACAGTCCATAGAGCACCTGGCTTGGAGGTTCTGTTAGGTTAGTACTGTTGTACTGCTAGTTTGGGTGTGTGGGGAGGCCATGTCGTGGAGGTTGGAAGACCCCATTTCATGACGAACAGAGTTACCAGTTTCATTGGAGTCTTGGGCAAAATTACTATCTTTCCAGTACAAGCACTTCTTATCCCGTCTGTCCCGTCATGTGTTTGGCAGGTAATGAGGGTAAGGATAGACTCGACAGTCACATTGTGGCGGATTAAAAGAAACCAGAAACTAGACGCTGCAAGTACCGAACTAACGGGCTTTAACAGTTGGAGTAAGTGCATGTAACCTCAATGGTTTGGTTTTTGATCGCCGTTCAGTGGGGACTCGCTCAGCGGGAGTGGAATTGCAAGGAAGCTTCCGAACCGGAAGGTGGAAGGCATTGGTCTATTCTCGGACATGAAATTCATCGTTTGCGTCTCTGCCTCTGGTATGGCTCAGCTGCTGTTTACTGTGTAGATATGATCAGTGCGAATTGTTAATTTCTCTTTCTTCGGATGTATCGACTCCTGTTTATGGTGAAGGGTCTTTGAGCGCAGGCAGAGCTTGTTGAAGGCGCAGGAATAAGGCGAAAATGAGGGTTATAAAATCTCGATCACATGCAATATCTCGCACGAGATTTCATGTCGTCCACTTTTGACATGTTGCGCTACCCCGCCAAATTTCCCCTGACTTTCCTTCTGTCTGAATCCCGGACTCGTTGATTGGTCTCCTTTGCGCAGTCTTAGGCTAGAAGAGACCATCATGACAGGTACATTCAGAAATCCGGGGAAGCGGTAGGGCAGAAGGACACCTCCAAGGACCAGGTAAGGAGCCGAGAATACTAAGTGCTCGTGTATCAACGTGTCATATCCCCCCAAACCGTTGATCCTGTCATTTCCCGAACCTTGCATGACGGGATAATACGGTGTGTGTCTTGTTCGCTTTTCGATTCCAGAACGGCTCAAGTCCCTAAGGTACCATCACGTCTTCGTTGTCCGTGTTCCGCCGAAGTTCGGAATGGTGGCAGGAAGCAGGTTCTTGGAAGGTGGTTGGAGAGGGCAGGTTGACAAAGGCCAGGCATCCAATGGCTTTGTTGGTTCCAAATCATTCAAAATGGGGTAATGAACGCAGACCTGATCGTGATCAAATCATAATTGGGGGACGACTGGGAGGAACCTATGAATGAATGAATAAATAAATTTCTCGGCTACGTTCTATTAATACTAGATAATAAGTTGTACCCGCGGCGGTGGTTGGGCATAGGTATATTAAGTGTAGGGAAAAAGCCTTATAAGTTAATTAAGTCAGACTTTAATATAGCTGTATGCTGGAAAACTATAACTTCTTTTGTATTTATCCGAAGTTATTTAGACAATTTTTATTCTAAGCTATCTATATCTAATATTATATAAACTTCCGCATATAGTTGTAATTCGTCATTTGGGTCTGGAGCTTCCGCTTTTACCAGTCTTATTCCTTAATATTGTCCTCCTTTTAAAATATAAATATATATAGAAGTTTCGTTTTTAAAAAATTATACTTTTACTAAATACGTAATATAATTAGTATCAAAAGTTGCCAGTATATCTTATACTCCTTATAAAATGCTGTAAGTAATTAGTAAATAAGTAAAAAAGTAGCTTTTTTTTGCGGAGCGTTTTGCAAATATAGTAATACAAGGTCTCTAAAGGGTAATTAAACTAATTATAGTAGAAATAAAAGTTCTAATACTTTATTCGCTATTCAATTTACTTAATTAAATATTTACAAAGTAAATCAAAATAGAGATTATATTTATATTATGACTAATCTACTAAGTACGTAAATTTATTAGTAGCCTAATATAGGTCTAGATTTGCTTTTGAGAAGAATATCCATTTCCCTATCCGTTTCAATTATTTATCAGCCTCCAGAACAAACTAACTCTAAAGAATTAGGAAGAAAAGAACACATATTTTATCAGACAAGCAATCGTCTAGCAAGGGTAATTATAATTCTACAAATACGTATAACTTAAATTATTCCCATAATAAGAGTTCTTTGAATTTCTATATAAAAACATAAAAGCTCGGAGATATATATAATTTAATTACAATTTTTACTACCTCTTTATTTATAGTTTTCAAATTCGTAATACTAATAAATTGAAAAAGAATCTACTTCGGGACTATATACTATACTCATATAATTTTCCTAAGCGTTTTTAACGCTACTACTCCTAATTTATATAAAATAAAGCCAATATTAATAAATATTGAATTACCTTTTAGGCTTAATTTAGAATGCTTAAGAAAGAACGCTGTAATATTATATATTAGTGTAAGTAATGATGAAATAAGGAATAATCATTTAATAGTTTTTAGGAAAAAGCTCTTTGGAAGTTAATCAATTTTAGCTGTTAAAATTATTATTATTATTGTTGTTTTAAATATACATTTTCTTATTTAAATAACTGTTTGCTGCAATACCCTAACTGGCTTATAATAATAGCACTAGTATAGAGATGCTACTATGAACTATGCACTTGTAGCAGAGCGGAGCGGAAGTGGTAGGAAGTACGACAGCAGTGCTGAAGGAAGCAGCGTAGTTGTAAAGACAATAGAGAGATGTTGTAAAAGAGGTCTTAGAGAGAACTCTGCTCTCAAGACAGAAGAGTACAGTAAACTCTACACTATAAAAGTAGATTGTATTGTATTGCTTTGATTGTGCTTGCTTGTTTGCTTGCTTAAGGAGTGACTAACTAAAAAAGAGAAGAGGTCTTTATATATACAAGCGTTAAGTATCTAGAAGCTTTCAGAGTGTAAAAGCTTCTGTAAATTGATAGGAGTACTTGTAGGAGCACTATATTATAAAAGGAATAAACTGAATTTATGAGCTTCTGGTGAATTCTATGATGACAAATCAGTCTAGAAGAAATGCTGAATAAGTTAGAGAATCCCAGAATATAGTGGCAAAACTTTTGTATTCTAGCACGTTCTGTAAAGGCTGAGTAGACTGATTCTGTAAAAGGAATAGTTCAATCAGCCTTCTATACTACAAGATAGTACAAGGCAGTTACAAAACACAGTACTAGCCTCACGTTAACAGATTTTATGTAAGGTAGTTACAATCATTATCGTTTTTAAAAAGCGCTATTGCAGCTGATACAGGAATCGTAGGATTTATACTTAATACAGGGGGTTACAAGTGTGAGGCTATATTGTGTGTAAATAAAAGGTAAAAAAAGAGATTGTCCTCGAAGAAAGGCCTGGCTTCCAGCCAGCCGTCTGCCCGTAGTAGATATGTAGTGCAGCAAGCTAAGTAGCTCAAGCGCAGAGCAACGGCTGGGCAGGCACCAGAGCCTCCATGGCAGCCTAGCTAATCTGGGCTGTCATGACTAGTCTAAGCTATAATATAGAGTATGGCCAACGATACCAGGAATCCAGGGATTCCGGTGCTAATCAAGGAAAAGTGGGCTCTGAGCCTTCTTCAAGGTAGTAAGAAAGTCGTAATAATTGCTTTAGTATTTTAGCAACTATTCAAGATACCCAATCCTGATTAGTTTACTTTCGAAAGACGTCTTCTAATTGTGATGACAGTCTTGCAGTTGTGCCTCTCGACTGCTTCACAGCTATATAAACCATTATACCCGAATTGCCTAGCTTCGGTTACTTGTATCCTGCTTCAATTACTTGTATCCTTTTGGAACATTGTGGTTACTGTATCTTTTTGGAACATAGCCTAGTGACTTTTGGAACAAGCCTGGTGATGTAGTAGTCCGCCAGCCCCGTGACACTGATTGGCCGGAGCTAGTTCAGAAAAATATTTTTCGGAGGAAGGTGTGGGAGGAACCTATGTTTGGTGGAGTGTCTCGGGTGGCTCTTACTCCAGGACTCTGGTGGGTTTAGGTTCTTTCAGTGGGCAACAGGGCATCCCCGCATTTTCGCACCACGCTACCTTATCAAGAGGCTACCCCAAGACTCATTACAACGACAGCGATCTGGTTCCCCGATCAAATCCAGTCCTTTGCAATTCCAAACTCCCAATCAATGAAAGAGGCGCGTTTCACCTACCGAAGGACATGTCTGTTCAGTGGTTTCCCGCTCCTTGACCCGGCCCCGCCCCTGATAATCCCCCGGTCGCCGGTCCATGGCGCCGCCCACATCACGAGCAGACACTAACCCAGACCGGTCACTTTGCTCGGTAGTGCCGTATGCCGCAGCATCATCAAGACGGGATCGTCTCTGAGTTCGTTGAATGGCACCCAGTTCCAAAACCATCCTCCGAGCCTAGGCAATTCCACGTCGGTAATCCACTCTTGGCCTTAGAGCGAGCCACAAACCGAAACGGTGCCGCCACGACGTGACGACATTCCATCAGAAGCAACCGTCCATCTTTTTGGACTTCGGGGTCCTCTTCACTTGTTGTCGTTGTCGTTGTTTACCGAGGCCCAAACATTACCCTTGTATAATACCTTAACCTGGGTTAGTTCAGCTTAAGCTTATTCAACTTAAAGTCACACACTCTCATCTCCCTGCCAACACACAACACCATAAAGTAGAGGCCTGAACACTTTGACATCTACGCAATCAAGCCGTAATGCTCGGGAAACATGGACTAAGCTAACCGGTAAACCAGCTTCATAGACTTCATTTCTCTTCACACAGCTTCACTGCACATGTATCCATAGCCGCCATGAGCCGCCAGTCTCAGAAAGCAGCACCTCCTGCTGCGTCTGGGTTTCCATCATCCTTACGCCTTCAGCTTTCTCCAGCCCGGTCAACTTCAACCCTAAAAGGCTGGAAAAGGGCCGAGGGTCGCATTCCCCCATTGTTACGGCCTCTTGTACGCGCCTACCTTCTAGGCTTTGTGTCCTCGGTTGCACCGAGATTGTTTACCTTGGTCTCCAAGCATGTCATCAGGTTGAAAGCTGGGAAGAAACAACAAGATGATTTTGTTGAATCCTTCATAAACATACTACGGGGTGGCATGGACTGGCAGCGATTTCCCACATTTTGCGCTGTCCTTGCCGGTGGCAGTACGTTACTCGAGGTAAGTTTTAAATCCTTACAACGTTACGGTACCGTTACTTACTCATGTCCATATAATTCCAGGTTTCCTTCAAGACTGTTCTCGATCGTTTAGCCGCCACATTGTCCGATGTTACACGAAAACGGCAAGTACCTGACTGCCACTCTTCATGGTACTCTCACTAACACTTGATGATTGCAGACTTTCAAGATGGTTTGGCTCCTTCATTGCGGCATGGCTTGGTATCAAGCTCCTACAATCAAAGCGGACTCCAGGCTTCACCGAGACGATCACAGCGCCCACTGTCATAAACAGTGAAACCTCTTTACCAACCTCAGATGCCGTTCTCGACCCAAAACAAGACGCCTCCCCCAAACAGCCCGTAAGGACAGTCCACTACGCTGGCCGAACCCTAGACCTGACCCTTTTCGCCGTCACCCGCGCCCTCGACGTGATCTTCGGAGAACTCTGGTCCCACTACAAAGCCCGTCGTCATGCCTCTCCCACCACCACCACCGCCACCGGCAGACTCACCGAAGCCCTTATCTCCCGCCTCACTGACCCAGCCATCTTCGCCCTCTCCAGCGCCCTTATCATGTGGACCTGGTTCTACCAGCCCTCCCGCCTGCCCCGCGCCTACAACAAATGGATCACATCTGCCGCCTCCGTCGACAACCGGCTGATCGAGGCCCTCCGCCGGTGTCGGGCCGGCACCCTCGTGTACGGCAAAGATACAGGCCAGGCGCCCTTGCTGGGCAGTATGTGCAAGGACTACGACTGGCCCGAAGCCTGGGGTGACCCGGCGAAAGCCGTGCCTTTTCCGTGCGAGATCGTCCACATGGGCTGCGGCCCCAGCTGCGAGCGGCACGCGCTGTCGCGGTTTACGAGGTCGTTCAAGTGGGCGTTCACCATGTACCTGCCGCTGAACTTGCTGCTGGTGCTGCGCAAGCCGAACTGGAAGGCGCTGAAGAGGACGTTGGTTTCGGCGTGCGGGTCGTCGGCTTTCCTAGGCGCGTTCATCACCCTGTTCTACTACGGCGTGTGTCTGGCGAGAACGAGGTTGGGGCCGTATCTTATGGGCAGAGACGCAAAGGGGTGTCAGAAGATTGATGGTGGGCTTTGCGTTGGCACGGGGTGTGCGCTGTGCGGATGGAGCATCTTGCTGGAGAACGCGGGGAGGAGGAAGGATATGGCGCTGTTTGTGGTGCCGAGGGCGCTGGCTACGTTGTTCCCGAGGAGATATGATTTGAAGAAGCAGTGGAGGGAGACGGTGGTGTTTGCGGCTAGCACGGCGGTCGTGTTTACGTGTGCGCTGGAGAATACGAAGAGGGTGAGAGGTGTTTTGGGAGGGGTTTTGGCCGGTGTGTTGAAGCCGTGAGGCAAGGAGATTGCATGGATAAAGCATTCTTAGGCGAACAAAAGAAGGGCAAGTGCAAAGACGCTCGATGTTGATTTGTCCTGAATATGGGCGGGATGGTTCAACTGATCACTTCAAGAAACTAGTCCGGACACACTGAACTGGCGGTCCTGCTTTGTCTTGGATATCGACGTTACAAGGCCTTGTGAAAGATCGGATGAGCACTCAAGGATATTGAAGCCCATGTTAACAGTACCTTAATCCAATGAGAAGTTTCCAAGCTCAATGAAGGGTTTAGGCCACGCAGAATTACGCTTCCAAATCCTAGACTCTACTACATCAAGGACCAAGTCCACGATCCCACGGTTTATTTGCTCAGCTCAACACCAAGTAGGTTTAATACCGTTGCATTTGACTGCAAAAATCTTGCATCTACGAACTTACCGAGCTTGGCTCCGAGTCAACATACTGCTGCAATACATCTACGATCTTCATCCGCCACAGAACAGCACCGTCGACACTTCCCTCATCACCTCCAAGCAGATAGCTAGCTCCATGGAGATTATTGGCGATAATAAACAGAGCAGACACTCTCCCAGTACATCCCCTTCATTTCTTCCATTCTCTTCGTTCATCATTCACTTTAGCTTGACAAAGCAACTGCGCCAGATTATCATACTTCTGGACCTTTCAAAGTCTTAAAGTCTCGAAATCTCAAAACTACTTCTCACCATAACCACAACAAAGTCCTTTTTTTCTTTCTTTTTTTTCTTTTTCTTTTTCAAAGTCGACAACCACCGTGACCGGTTGCAAAAAAATAGCACGCAACAATATTAATTAACCCTAACGGCGGTTGACGGGCCCCTCGCTCTCCTCTCTCCGCCCTCTACCTCTTTATTACGTTCGGTCCTCACTTCGTCTTCGACTTCAAGATGCTTCTTCTCTTTAAGCAAACCTCCGAAACTCTCTCCCTCTGGCTCCGCTACTTTATCTATTCATGTAGGTCGTTGAACTTCTTAGTCGGCGCTCTTTTCGTAGTGATTCTCATGGACCGCTACGGACCGGACGCTTACTGGGGGTTTTTTAATGAGAAAGGAGGGGAAGGGAGAGGTGAAGAGAGAGGTGAAGAGAGAGGAAGAAGAGGTGAAGAGAGAGGTGAAGAGAGAAGTGAAAAGAGAAGTGAAGACGTAAAGAAGGTAAAAGGTGTTAATGTAAGGCGATTGGTGGCAAGGGTTCTAACGTAGGAAGGTGGCAGAGGGTGAGGTTCAATTGCTAAATTCTGCAGATAATAATCGAGAATGCACAAGTAGGAAGGAGGATTGCGGAGGACACTTTGGGAATACCTTACCTGGGGCTATGGGCAACAATGGCTTTTTAAATTAGATTACAACTGGCTTTTGGACAGAATGGGATGGATGAGACCTTGTATTTCTTAAATGACCAGAGGGTCGGCGTGTGACGGCGTTACTAATTCAGCGTGGAGGGAATTGCTTTCTTATACTTAAGCAAAAATCAACGTGCTTTGGTTACTCATCTCATGGATGATGACTGGGGCAAGTGACTGATAGTAATTTGACTAGAGAGCACTCCGTGGAAGGGTTTGTTCGGCAAGTGTCTTGCACATTATCTTTCAAGTCCTTGATGTTTCGACAAGACAATTAGGATGAGACGGACACTCATGCCGTAATGGCGTACACTCGCGTTCCTTTTATCTTCATTACAATATCCCATGCCATTAATGTTCGTTAAACCACGTGTAAAGCATGCTCATTTACCCCTTTCTAACCCATACCATTATTTCCCGGAACCCATTGCAGTAATCATTCTTCTCAGTCTTCTCCCTCGCCCCCTTTTCAGACAGGGATTTACGACCTCCACCAAGAGCAAACTCCAAGCACAAAGATACAAACGAGAATATCCGCCTTGACCGTGCTGAATATCTGTCCATACCTCAGCCCAATTTCCAAATAGCCCTTCCACGGCTGTGGCAAGAACCCAGCCGCCATACCCAACATACCACCACCAAAAGCACCACCGACGGGACTCCTTCCCAAACCCTTCTCCAACATGAAGCGCGTCGTCAGCAGGAGTGCCTCAGCCGTAGCAAACGCGTAGAAGAAGCGTCTCGCCGAATCCGTATCAAAGCCCACAGCCACCTGATCGCCTGCCCCCGTGTGGTGGTGCTTGTTGCCAGTGAGAATGTTCTTGCTGTCCCTGTCGACCTTGCTGCCGCTGAACGAAGTCCACACCGCAATGTAGACACCGAGACCGAGCGCCACGGCCGTGTGCAGCAGTCGCCAGAGAGAGGAATACCGGTCGGGAACGGCCATGGCAGGCGGGACTCCTTGCTGGCCCATGCCGGGCATGCCCATTCCAGGTGGCATCATGCCGCCCATACCGGGCATGCCGGGAAACCCTCCTCCGGGGAAAGGTGGCATACCACCGGCGCCGGCACCGGGAGCTCCTCCACCGCCAAGCATGTTCATCATCATTTGCATCATTGGGTCCTCGGCGCCTGGACCGCCTGACCCTCCTTCTAGTAGGCTGGCAAAGGGGTCGCCACCGGCACCGGGACCA